TTTTTTTTTTTGCCTCCGAGTTCTGAGTTTTTTTTGTTGTTCTTTGGTTGTTTGTTTTTTTGTTTCATGTCGTCTTGTGTTTTCCCTCTGATGTCCAGGTGTTCTGCACTTTGCGTTCATCGTTTTTGCCTGTTTCATAGCATTTCTTTGCCGCTCTGACGCCGACTTCGATCTCTGTTGCGAGTTGGCAACATTCTCAGAGGGTGACATCGTCTTTTTTTTTCGCGGTTGGCGACTTTCATCATGTCGCGGGACCGGGGGAAGGATCCGTTAGACTCGCTCACGACCGCCCGACAAGGTCATAACACGAAGACGTTTGACTCGCAGTTCAAGGTCGACCCGACAGTCGACGGCAAGCGGGACGACCCGGTGTGGCATTTTGTGGCCAGAGGGCGTTATTTGGATGGGTCGACGGCGGCGGGCAGGAAGAGCGGTCGTCGATGCCTGTGCAGGTTGGTCGGGCGTTCGATTTGTGGGGGCGCTAAAGCCGCCAAGGAGCACTTCTCGAAGAGCGAGAAATTTCGATGTGAGGCAGCCACTCCTGCTGTGTGGAATGCGATCTGGTCGAAGGACATGACAAAATGTCCAAAGGAGTTCGCGTCGGCCATAGAAACGTTGCAGAATCACTTGCCAGGTCATCCGAGCTTGCAGTGGTCACCTCTTCGATTCCCCGAGGACGCAGTGCCGCCGCTGGTTCCTCCCACCGCCCCTTCTGGACCCGTCGCATCGCCTTATTTTTGGGGCTCCGGCCATTCGAGTCACGGTACCGCGTCCTGCAACAACAGTTGCAACACGACCGGCAGCCCCGCCGTCTACGCCACTGGCTGGGACACGAGGTGCTCGCGATGTGGGAGTTGGTCGTTCCACGCCAGCCAACGAGCCCCCGCCTCTGAGGGATGGTGTGGGCTCTGCGGCATTTGACGAGGAGAGCACTCGTGCATTTATTTAGAGTCGCAGGTGGGGTGGGAGTGCCGGCAATTCAGCGCCCGCGCTCGCCCCTGTTTTCAGGAGTGCTAGGCAGTCAGATGCCGCACGGGGTGGTACTGCGGTGGCACTTGGCGCATCACCCCGCAGTTCGTCGGAGCACCCCTGGCTGCCACCTCCACCGTCGAGAGCGGCGCAGCGTCCAATGGTCCACCACGCTCACGGAACCGCCCACCCGGATCCGTCACACGCACCTGCAGATGCTCGACATTCTGCTTCCGTGCCTCGTTTCGGGGAACAGGTGGATCATGGGGTGCCTGCCGAGGAGGTCCCCGCTCCGGTGTCCGATTCATCGCCGACCCCTGTTCCGACAACCATGGGCGATGGTCGGTCTCCCCCACAGCCTCCACCCGTGTTGACCGGAATGTTAGACCCTTTGCAGCGCATTCGTAACCTTGTAGTCGCCCAGAGCGCGACAGCTGTGAGCCCTGGCGGGTTGTTGGATGCTGGGGTCCTCGGCGGGAGAGCTACGACAGGACGATGTCGGGGCACTTACAGGCAGCAAACCGTCACGTCATATTATTCGGACCCTTTGGAGCGCGCATGGCATCTGCAAATCATGCGGTTCATCGTTGAGAGCGGGATGCCGTTCAACAGCACGAAGCTTGAAAGCTTCAAACGCATGTTCACGATGATAATCCCGCCGGGGGTTC